ATTTCATTCCACCTTGTTGGTGTATACCTATTGTATATACCGCGAGCTTGCAGGCAAACTCTCCGTTGAAAATGCACAGGGTGGGTCCTCTCTCAAGGCCGCAACCATAGAGAAATCGTGCAAACGACGGAAACACCCTCAATTCTCACGAACGAACCTTTATCACGGAATATGCCGTTTGATATACGTTAATTATGCATTGGATCGTTTGCGACGGGAACCCTATCTACTCCCCCCCCCTTCTGCCCCCTCCTCACTATTTCACCGTGTCGAAAGGATTAAACGTTTAGCACGTCTTCTACTGTTCGTTTCAATTTATTCCCATTAATTCCGAATTTCAGTCGGTTCATAATTTTGCCTTTATTTTATTTTTATTTTAAATTAAAACTTATAAAAGTTTACTCTACAATCTTATTTCAATTGATATTAAATATTAAAGAAGTATAACTTCAAAAATAAATGTTACTTCTCTACTATTTTAATGTTCGACATTTTTCACGGAATATTTATGGTTTTTCTTTTCTTTCTTTAAAACTTTAAAACCATGCGGTATACGTATGCATATAGATTTTCTTTTTTTTTTTTTTTTTTACGAGTAAAAGAAGAAAACGGAAGAAAACAGTTAATTTATCGTTTCTTGATAGCAAAGAGTAGAAAATTATTGTAAATGGTTTGGGTGTACGAGATGGTGGCGTGTCAAGGAACGCTTTGAAAGGAAAACTTTTAATTAAAAAGTAAGTATCGGCATTGAAGATCAGGATGAAGAGAAAGAGAATGATTGAGAGAGAATGAGAGATAATAAGAGAGAAGAAGAGAGAATGAGAGAGAATGAGAGAGTATGGTGAGCCCGGAGCAATTTGTGGCGATATAAAAGTTCTTCCCTGGTCCTCGCAGAATCGGCAATAGAAACTACGGGGTGTTCTTTTCCTTTCTTTTTTTATTTTCTTTTTTTTTTACGAGTTGTAACCCCTCGTATTAGTCTTTCTCGTAGTAGTAACGTAGTAGACTCCTTTCCCCTCAACCCCACTCTCTCTTACCTCATCAAGGGTAAAGAAAAACCCAAAGAGGTAGTGTCCCCCCCTGTTGACATTTAAAGATCCCATTTGCGACGATATATTCGTGCCATTTTAAATTTATAAAAAAGAGAAAGAAACAACTTCAATAAATCCAATTATCTTTGAACTCGATCGATCGTTTTCGATTCATCATCGAAGTTTTGTTTGGATCCTTTCTTTCTTTTATTGTTTTTATTTTTTTTTTTTTTATTATTAAATGAAAGAAGAGGATTCGAGCTTGATTGAAAACTTAGGATCTTTGACTTGGTCGAATTTACAAGGAGAGTACTTCATTTATTTCGTTAGCGTCGTCAAAGTAGAAAGATACTACGATGCAAACGGAAGTTCACAAAACGTAATTTTATTACCTTACTTCTTCATCGAGTATGTATATACCTAATGAAAAGGATCACGTTGATTTATATATAAAAGAATGGAATAATCGATTGAGTGGAATCGTAAGATAGGAGAATTGGAAAACTATGATAAATAAATACTATTTTTTGAAGTTATACTTCTTTTGACGCATTTGGGAAAAAGTGATGAGAGTGAATTTTACGATGCGACCCCAAATACGTACGTACATAAGTACACACACCAGTTTTTTTTCCTTTATTTATTTATTTATTATCCTTAAAATTTATTTATAGAAATTAATATTATAATATCACAAATAAAATGTTATTATTTAAAATAATGTATTGTCACGAGGTAGATTTTGTTTATTTCCTGAAATAATCGTCAAGTTGACAGAGGCAAAGGAGGAACAATGGGTGATAGAGAGAATGTTGGATTATGGGATGGTGTAAGGGGGGCGTGACCGCGAAACATAGGCATGCATGATGCCCTTGTTACGTTTGGTCGCCATCGGCCACTTCTGATCTCGGATTGCTCAGTGCCTAATTAAACCGCAGTACCATCAGCTATCCCTTGGCCACTGAGAATCATTTTGCGAAGGGTAGAAAAGCAATAAAGGGTAGTACCAATCGGTAAAAGAGTACGAAGAATCGTGTCTGTTGAAATCAGTGTAAAAATCTATAGAAAAGAAAGAAAAAGGAAAGCTTCCTTTTCTCGATCCTTTTTCGATCATGGTTCATATTATGAATACCAAAAAAACTATACTTTATATTACGAGTTAGTATACACTTGTATGTACGTACAGAATGTTTCACCTAATTCAAGAAATTGAGTACTTATAGAATTGATATGAGTTTCTAAGAAACGTCTACACTTGTTAAACCCCTTACGTGTTATTTCTCTAGATACAATATATTTGCTATTAGGGAACGTGTATCTTTTCTCATTCGATCCCGACGCGGTTAGCGATTACAGTTCAATAAAAGTGTTCACGTTTCCTTCTCTTATTTCTCCTACTCCTCCCTTCCCCCTAACCTTTTTCCCTTATCGATAGAAAAACGAACCAAAATATCGTGTACGAAAGTAATATCGAGATAAACTTTACTAACTGTGAATTCGATCGATCGTGTTCTGCGTGACCGGAAATTATTGTTGTCGTTGTTGATGATGAAGGAAGATAAAAGATTTGATATACAAATGTATAGAAAAATTTATATAATTTATTATAAAAATTGTTTTAGAGTAAAAATTTGATTATTTTTCATTAATATAAAAATAAAAAATTATCTTGTTATTAAAGAAGATAAAAATTGGAAAATTACGATGAAGTTTTAAATCATCGAACGGAAGTAATATCCGATATTTTTTTGGTGAGAATAGTCGATCGATTGGGAGAGGTACGTGACCAGAAAGTTTGATGTCTTCGAAGGAACGAAGGAAGGAAGGAAGTAAAGAAAGGTGAAACGAGAGAAAGAATTTATTTCAACGATAAATTCCTTTTCGCTTTCATTAGTGGCCTTGTCCGACATGTACGTGTATGTATGTATACGTGTACAGGGTGTTTCACTTAACTCATGTGAGTACTTTAAATATTCCAGTTATTATTTTTCCTTTTCTTTTCGATTATACAACGTCATTTAATCGAAAAGACAATAGGAAACATTAATTCGTTTTTTAAAATAAATTTTATACGCTCAATGACGTCTTGTTAAAGTGAAACATCCTGTATATAATATGTAGAGAGATACTGTTACCTGTTTTTAGACCTTTAGAAGGGATGTAAGAGAGCCAGAACACAGAGGAAGGAAGCGAAAGATTTAATGCGATTTTCTACGTGTCTTTTTTCTTCGTTGTCGAGAACATATACAGACGAAGTGCGTGATCACGACGATATTGTCGATCGAGTTTAATTAAAGGGGATCAGATCTTTCCCTTACCCCTTCGCCCTTTTATCAACGACCCTGTTAACCCTTTGCAGAACCCTGACTGTTGTCACCTCTCCTCAAGTTACCAATGATTTATTTATATTAACTTCGACGATTTACGATAGACTAACTCCGATCATTATTAAACGTTCATATATTTCATGCTAAGGGGTGAAAATGTTATTTTATCTCTCTCCCCCTTCCGCCCCCATTTCTCTCTTTTCGACCGTAATCGTGCAAACAACTACGCCGTGCTTTTCACGTTTATGATTTTGGATAAATTATTTGACATTTTTAGATTTTTCTTTCGTTCAACGAAGGACGCTTCGTCGTTCCAAGTTATTAGAAAGCCACCCCATGCTTCTTTTGTATTCGACCGAGTGTCAATATTGCGTCGTAACCTACTTTCATCGGCTTTTTATAACTTTCACTCGAGGATCAAACACATAGGCCAGGCAACACCGTAATATAAGTTTTTCCCCTTAGACAAGAAGGGAAAGAAAGCATCTTCCTTGATCTCATCTCGAAAATTATCATATTATTCGTCACAGTTATCGTTAAAGAAACAAAAAAAATGTTTTACCGAGGTTGTACGATCGTGTGGAGAAGAATTTGTAAGAATGTACATACACGCATGGTGAGTGAAGCAAAATGCTAAAGGGTACAAGTTGAAATAAGTTATTTTTTTTTTATAAAGACATTTATTATTATCAAAAAACATTTTTCACAGTTATATACACAACGACGTCTAAAGGTATATTTGCATCAACAAAACGTTTCAATAGTCGCATGACAAAAACCCGGCTTTCAATTTATCGATTTATTTCTCTCTTTCACTATTCCAAATTCAAAGGGCAAACTACGGGATGTAGAAAACGCTGCGTACGCAGATTGAACCCAACCCACGTAACGCACACGTTGAAAATTAATTCGGAGTCACGAATTGCACGTAATATATCATAGTCGATCGAGACTAAACAACACACGCTCTAAACTTTTATTTATTTAGTTTTCTTTTTTTTTTTTTTTTCTAAATCATTCTAACTCGCTAATTTATTTTTTTCCCTTCTCTATTTATTCGCTTCTTTCTTTCACTCTCATTTACTTTTCTGCTCATATCTTTCCTTATATACTTCAGTAGTATACGGTGGTGGTAATGGTAATATTACAGTGAAAGATAACGCAGGAGTGAGGAGATTTTCCTTTCTTAGAACGAACGAATTTAATAATCCCCTAAATGGGATAGCGCAGCTCAGCTCAGGAGCCTTCAGGAGGAGTAACTTCAATTCGTGCTTTAAATATGCAACGAACGATTTCTGAATACTAAATCCTCGATGAACTCGAAGCAAATCCTATGAATACATCTTTTCTTCCACCTTACTCCCCCCCCCCAGACTACCATACCAATTTTCGAAATGAAGTGGTAAGAGAATGATAAAAAATAATGGACGATGATAGAATTATTGTACATTGGATCAGGGAATACATTTCTTCGTGTTCTAATGCAAAACTGAAATAAGTTTTACTTTATATATTATATATATATATCACACTATATTAAAAATAAAAAAGATATCGAAGAATGCAGAGAAGAAGAAGTATAAGAGGAGAAAAATATGAGTTTGTTCTTTAATGAAAGAAAGAATAAGCATATCGAACTCACCTAATGATGTGCTGATTGGTCGATTGCAGCAGTATGGTAGTGTACTTGGTGATCAGCATCTTTTCACAGAGTCATCCAAAAATAAAGAGAACTCTCTAACCTCGTCGACTACTTTCTTCTTCTTTTTTTTCTCTTTTTTTTTTTTTTAATAAATAAACTCACACGTAACACGTTGAAAAAACACAGAGGAGACGTATGTATGCGTATCTTCATTTACATGCACAAATTTTTATCGTATTTACTGTTAAATAGAAGAAAAAAAAAAAACTCGCGTTGCAAATAGAGAGTCAGATCAAAATGAAAGAAAGAGAAGAATGCATACTACACATATGCATACATACATACACATACGCAAGAACACGTACGCACACTCTCTCTCTCTCTCTTTTTCTGTTTTTCTTTTTAACTGCACACTTGGCTTCGCATAAATTCGAGCCCGGTACGACTCGTCGTTGTCGTTCTGTGAAAATCAAGCAAAATACGCGAAATAGCAGCAACAGTTATGGTGGTAGTAACCAAAAGGTATATACAGCAACAGCGCAACGACGACGTGTGGATGCCGCGAAAATTCTTATGGCTAAATTTAGAGCTTATATCTCGCTGCGAGCAGCTAAGACGCGTTTCTCGTACACGTAAAAGCCTTCGCGAGTCTAACCAACTTTACTTTGCTTTCCTTTTTTTTTCTTCTTCTTCTTCTTCTTCTTCTTCTTCTTCTTCTTCTTCTTCTTCCTCTTCTTCCTCTTCCCCCCCCTGCTCTTGTTCTTTTAGTCCACTAAGTAGACGACAACTACGATTCTCATGATTCCTCGTTAATACAACGAACTGCATCGTCTACGAAAAGGGATAAAATAAACTTTGATCCCCCTGTTCTTATCCCTTATTCTTCTTTTTCTTCGATTTCTTTGTATCTTCTTATCTTCTCTTTCAACTACAGGAAATGTCTGATATCTTGATCTTGCACTACTTGACGTTAGTCAGGAAGTGTCGTCGACTTTCTGACTTCAAACGATATCAAAAGATATTCGATCTTGCGTGTATTTATTTATGAGCTTTAACCACGACGAAAGTCTTTCTCAAACTTAATCTTCTCTCTCTATGGGTTTTACTTCACTTCCTACGCCGATGATGATGCTACTGTTTGATACACGAGGAAAGATGTTGCCTGTTAAGCTGGTATATTTTGTGGCTGTTGTGTGTGTGTGTGTGTGTGTGTGTATGTCTGTTGAAAGACGTGACCCAAACTCTCATCCATGATCGTTTCTCAACGATAAGAGCGTAACTTTTATTTTATCTATTTTATGGTAGACGTTTTAAAATGATGAATATATCTTTTGATATGCTAATATATTCGTATTTGTATCGTTTTAATTTGTTGTATGAAATTTATGCACGTACGGACACATATATTACAATAAATATTCCTGTTTTCATACTTTCATGTGAAATAGAAACAAAATGCTCTTATTTTCTATCATTAAATTGAATCATTAATAATACAAACGATTAGCAAATATAAAACATATGGATCCTAACTGTTTCTAATCTTTGGAAAAAAAAAAGAAACCAATAAAAGAAAATGAATAAAAAAAATAATTGTATTTTTCGTTATAAGAGAATATCAAGAATTGAAATATAAATTCGGAAAGTTTTCCCAAAGTTAGACTTAATCCTGTGCGGCTTTAGCGATTTGTATATGTTCGAGAATAAACTACAAAAGAACGTATAGGAGATGGACGAGACAGGCTAATGTGGACTKTATTWKTCTTWATTTCTGGTAGAGTTTGTGTGTAACAAGATTTATTAGATATTATGTACAAAGAAATAGAGATGGCGAGAGTATAATAGATTTTTTATGCCACGTGTACCGGAAGTACG